CCGCATGCACTCAGGGAGAGGCAGACTCGATAGATTTCCAATCCATCAGGGTCAACGTATTCACAATCCTTCTTGGCAATTTAGAGTAAAAATCCATTTGAATGTGAGCCCCTGGAGGAAACCCACACACCCACTGGCAGGAACATGCAGACTTTATATAGAGAGAGCTTTGGCCTAAGATTAAATTCGGGACTCTTTTGTGAGGACATTGTGAACTGCTGGGCTGATGCCAGAGCAACAGGTGGTTGTCTGAAAAGTAAAATAAAAATAATTTGATGTTTAGCATTGGCCGCAGGGAATGAAACACTTAGAAACCTTAGAAAGCATGACACATTTTAATTGTTTTTCTCACCCATGTTGCAAAATTACTGCTGAAGAAATTAAATCAGGTCTGTCCAGAAATAAAGGAGCTTGCAAACGTACTAATTGGATTAGTCGACGTAATGATGACAGATAAAAGTGAAAAGTTTAATTGTGATTTTTTTTTTTGTCAGTTTCACCACACACCCAGTTATCAAAGCAAACACTGTTAAATGCATGACAAGCAGCACTAATGCATCTTCTTTGAGCTGGCTGTTTTTCTTAAATAGGCTTGATTGCAGTCCACTCATTGCTATAGTGAAGCTTTTTTATTTACTTCCTGCTTCACATTAACATTTTCCCTTCATTCTCCATTCTGCATTCTGCCTTGACTATATTCAGGGCGTAAGCCTCACTATAATGGCCAATTTAGTTATTTTTTTAATATTGAAACGATCCAATAATGCAGTTTCATTAACTCACTACCTCAATATTGATGTAATTGACACTGTTTTGAGTTTGACTATTAATTGTGGTTTCCTACAATAAAGGCTGGCACATGCGTCTGCGTCGTTGCGTCGACGCACTCGTTTCAATTCATGGTTCTAAAGTCTTGTGTGTGTTGCAGAGCAATTCACCGCCAGAACAACAGGCGGAGTGACGTGTTTTGTTGAAGATGACCTAGAGAGTCACGTCTATTTATTTATTTATTTATTTATCATAGACTTTATTGCCCCGTGCATCGCCACTGCTGCTTTTCATCAAGGACACATTTGTCCCGTATTTTCCTCCACAACTTTGTGCACCTCTCGACCGGCAAACCGGCGTTTGCGGCGATCTCCCTCCGTGAATCCAACCCGCCAATGACGGCTTGTATAAGCGCTCATATTTACGCATTTCTTCCAACAGAAGTTCTGGTCCGTTCTCTCGTAAACATTCTTCGTTTTAATAATGGCGGTATCTGTCTATGAAAACGGAAATGTGAGACTCCGTAAAGGATGTAGTTAGCGGACCAATCGCGGCCTTGTGCGCTGCGGGAGGCTTGCGTCGCTTGCGTCGAGCGACGCAAGCCTAGAAAAATGGCTCGACGCGCGCAAGGACGCAAGGAGGTGTGAAAAGGCACACAAGGGACACGCAAGGGGGTCTTGCGTCGGCGTCGCTCTGAAAACGCAGAAGCATAAACTAGGCTTAATGCAAATTAAAGGTGAAGTATTGTAGGTACAATATTGCAAGGTGGGTAGACTGATTAACAGTTCAATCAAATTAGCATAAGCAATGACAATTCTCTAGGGGGCAATCCAGATAGTGATTTTTTTTCCTCTCAAGAGTCTCAGAGTGGGTTTGGTCAGGTGCCATTTAAAGTTTAGTTTTGTCCCAACTACAAAGAAATGAAACATGCTTCCACACATTATCAAATCTCGACCTTTTCCTAAATTTAACTTGTGTTGCAAATAGATATGAACCACATATGATGCCACATGCATGCTTTGACACAGCTAAGTCTGTATGACCTATGAAACACAGCAGTTTTAAATTGATGTCTGATTTTATATACAACATCTTACAGTTAGTCGTTTCAGTGAAACACCGCTTCACCGGAATAAATCAACAAAAACATCTGCCGTTAGCAGAAATGTCTCCCCATCACCATATGCACAATTATACTCTTCAAACTCATACTCAAAAACAATAACTTTAAATTTGCATGCAGAAAAATCCGTAGAATACATTATCTAGTGTTAATATTCAAGCACCCTAAATATAATACAGCATTGTATTTTAAGAACTTGATGAAGAAGTTTCTGAATAGGAAAATGTTCCCATAAAACCCTTTTTCAACTTTCTCAAACCGATTGTCGGTGTGAACACAGCAAACCTTTAATCAACTGTTTTGCAAATGCATCGAGGAATCCTTTTGGTTTGAATCAGTACAATACCTCCCATCAACAGATAAGTGCCATTTGTGTGAGTGCTAATGGGAATCTTCGGAGACAGGAGACATCTTTCATTTTCTTGTCCAGCTGCAAGCAATTCAGAGCTGTCCTCCATTTATGTCGGAATCAGAAGCAAATCTTGTGCCAGAGTCAGAAAACTGCCTCATCACGACAGCAGAAGAAAGAATAATCTACGTTTGCGTGCATTTCCCCTCGCTGGGACATCAGGGGCCTTTATTCTTCTTTCTGCTTGTATGCAACCACAGTAAATGAAATCACTGCGACCCCCACAAAGAGGTGCAGATTATTTTTGATTGTGAACTGCCTTAGACAAGGAATATAAATGTTAATCAAAATATGTTGTTGTAAAGATGGGGAGGAAGTTATCTGTTAGGACTGAAAAAGCTAGATATATTCATCTACATGCATTTTTCGCTCTGCATGTCTATAGAGAGGGTGAGTGTGTATTTTTCTGACGTTAATATTATTCGTTTGTGTTGTCTGCTAGTGTCTTATCCGTTGTGTTTTGTTCAGACCCCAGGAAGAGTCAGCTAATATGGATCAATATGAAATGCTAAATAGTGGAGCTGAATTCAAACTTAATACAATCCGCTGGCGTGGAATTCACTCCCTGTGTCAGTGTGTTGCATTAACACTCATACTGCACACACACACTTTTTTTTGTAACAAAGATTCCAATCAGTTGGCTATTTCTCACACAGATTGAGCTGTATGCTAAAGAGCTAATTAACAATGACCGTTCTGGAGTTCACAAGCTCCTCTGACATCTTAATTAGATCTTAATGACATTTCCGTTGGAATGAGTGAATTGAGCAGCCTGAAATGAGGAAAACACCATTGCTGATATACTGAAGGAAACAGGAGTGACTGACACCAGAGACAAGTGCATGCAGGAAAGAAGAGCCGGATTAGTAATTAAGGAGATGGAGAAAGGAATGATTGGAAATGAGGGCATTTGGGCTCTATATGTACCCACCAGTCATACAGTATGTCTGGTATTAAGTATCGTGTTAGAAATAGGATTTGATTAACGCTGATAGACTTTTTATTCTGTCTTACGTTCTATCTTCCTTCCCACTTCTTCCACTCTCTCCTTCGGACTATAGGTTTCCCAGTAATTACTCTATCCATGTCCCAATGGAATCGCATTTCTTTCATGGGACTCTTAAACAGTCTTTTCTTTTATTACCATGAAGCTTCAGCATCACTCTGGAAATTACAACATGTATTGCCAATGAAGATGATATGATAATGGTATAATGAGTTCTGGCAGATTGTTGGAGGATTTGGATATTATATGTTTCTATTATGCTCTGTTTTGCTTTGTACACTATTCTGCATGATCTGCAGTGGATTGCAGGCAGATAGTCTCTGATCGTTCTTCTGGTTAGTGGGCTGTGTATTTTTAGCTGAAAGATTCATGCACGTTTATGCAACTCCAACTCGTCAGAGGACTGCAATATAAGAAAAATGGGCTGCAGTGAATAAGGAAACGGGTGCACAAGTCCTAGTCCAACGACCTCAAACTACAGAATTACCTTCCTGCTGGCGCCTGTATACACAAATGTATTCAGTACGAAGAGGCACACACTGGCAACAAATCAAAACCTTGACAAGAGAAAGGTAATTGATTCAAATCTTCAAAGGGAAATATTTATCTACCGGATGAGTTGCTCTGTCTATGTTTGCCCGTGCTCAGCTGGCCTGCACTCTCCTTCACTTGAGAGTAGCCATTAGAGGGGAAGGGACAGAGAAATGGAGTGGAAAAACAACATAGAAAGCTAGGGGCCAGTGACGAGGAGCCCGGATTGAAAGCAACTCAGAAAACGAGGGAGGAAAAGGCTAAATAGAAACGTTGTCTGAAGCCCCTCGCGTGGCGCAGAGTGAGAAGTAAACAGAGAGGCTGAAAGATTGGGAAAGAGGAGACACATTACCAAGAGTCTGTTGGTTGCAACAGATGCTGTTCTGCGTGCGGCCGTGTCTGTTTATCATGATGACTCTCCTCAAACCCTCCGACTGATCTCTCCACTACCCCGTGAGTCCAGCCTAAATCTGTCAGAGTCACAAATTCCTGCCCACCACCACTATTTACAACCACCCTGTCATCTACACAGCTTTCCCCCAAACAATGCATCTAGCTTCGGTTCATTTGCCCTTCCTCCTTGCTACTTTCAACCTTCACTCATTCTAGTTAGCCTTTAAGGGTTTACTTAGCATTTTATTCGGCCAGAAAAGGCGATAAAAGAAAGAGCGTGTTTTTCTGTAATGCGATCAGCAATTCATTCTAACAGATCTGGGTCCACAGATGCCGCTGTAATTGGCTGTTTTTCTCGCTGAAGTAGGCCGTGATTCTGTTTTTCTTCTCTCTATTAAAGGCAAAAAAGTGGAACATTACCCCCACATGATTATTGCTATGCTCCCGCATTCTAGCATCTGGTCTGAGTAGTGTTTTCACTTTTGCTCAGGCTGTTTCTTCTCTTCCAACACATGATGTGCTGTAGATCCTCTCCTACTTCTTCTTCAAAAGGATACTTGTGTCATGCTTTTGAGCCCATGAGGCAGTCACTGACTCACAATCCCGTCAGATTATATATTATGTACTCTCTCTGTAGCAAGCAGATAAGGATTGATCTTATTCGGCTCGTCATAATCACACCGTGCTTGAAATACTGTATTGATCGCTACGGTAAGAAACAACAGGACGTGCACATGGTCCATAACCCCACTGATGCGTGTGCGTCCCAGGTTCACGGACGCAGACACCATCGTGATGGGGGACGTGACGTACGGCGCCTGCTGCGTCGACGACTTCACTGCTCGTGCCCTTGGTGCTGACTTCATGGTGCACTACGGCCATAGCTGCCTCAGTGAGTACCTCTTCGTCGCTCTGCATGCATGATTGCGCCACACAGAGGAACATAGGGTGGGCTACCTACGGAGAGTGGGCCGCATTGGAAAAGGAAGTCATAGACGGAACGACAGACGGCGCTATTGATCAGTGGGAAAATGTGACTGGTCTGCGTTGCCTGTCCAGCACTGCTATAGAAGGAATATCCGCCTTTGGAGCCTGGGCATCACATTTACCCAGTAGATCAATAGGGAACGTGCATTAATGCTGTCCTTTGAAAAGCCTCAGGCAGTTCTTGAAGACCTTCCCCCTCGCCCCTGCCGTCTGTCTCCTGCACAACATATGAGGAAATGCTAAATCGATAGTTTTGACATCCATCCCTGCCAGAACAATCTCCCTTCTCCCAAATACCAGAAATGACGTACAGAATTGTAATACACAGGAGAGCATTCTCTGTGTTGATTTTTGTTAGGTTAAGTGTGATTTGTGTCCCTGCACTTTCCTTTTCTTGATCTACGTGGAAGAATGATTCCATGTGTGTATCCTTACAAAAAATATCGGATGCGTACTATGGGCAACCAAATAAAGGCAAAGGTCATAAAGATCAATGCGCTGTGGGTTGTGAAGATATTAATTGTTTGGACATTTTAAAAGAAATGAGATGACCTACAGTTTGTCAGAACCCCCCCCCCCCCCCCATCTAAGGGCACCACTGTGTTTGTGTTCCTGACCTGCATCTCTCAATCATGAGGACATCATATGCACTGGTGCCCATCGTGTCAGATACCAGTGGGAGATAAAAGACACTGTTCTTACTGACTCCTAGAGAACCTTTCTCTCCTGCAGCCCTTTCATTTCCTCTGGGGTATGTTCTTTTTTTCGAATATTGGTGCCATCTCATCTTTTGTCATAGAGCAGCTCCATCTAGTCCAGGGCAATATGGGCAACATCATAAAAACATGTTTGGAGAAATGAAAATATTGGGATAGAAGTGATGCTTTTTTAATCTAACCTCCTTGATATGAGGGAAGCAAGTAACCACACTTTATTGTGGTTAGTGGAAACAAAACTGTAAAACCAAAAGCGGCTTGCTGGGATACAAGACTTGCTGCCTGAGCTGTTATTGAACCCGTCCTGCTCATCATAGGCAGGTCTCCATTGTGTCGGTGGCTCGAGTCATTTTGGCGGAGCTTTCTTAAAGCAAAACTTACCCATGGCACTAACTTTAGTTTGAGCTCATTTTATAGACGTGGTCAAGGTAAATGCTCTGTGTCGACATTAACGGTCAATCCAAGTTTAGCATACTTAAAAAGTTTAGTTTTCCCTCAAAGAAACACACCGTTACAACTGCTCGACATTTTAAAACAAGTGTCCGCTCAGGCTGACAAGTTAAATCCTGATATGTTATAAGCCAAAAATTGGATATGGATCCGTTCACACAACCAGTTATTGCGGTATTATTCATGAAGTTATCCATAAGCACAATATTGAGTGGAACCCATTTGTAGATATTGATTTGTACAAACCGTATTATAGTTATATTATGTTCAACCTTTTCTCAGTCTCACTTGCTATGATTGTGCATGCGTGTTTGTTTACTGCTGACCGCTAATAAGCCGCTGTACCGAGTGACCTTATTGCTACGACACATAGATGTGTGAAACCACCGCCGGGGCAAGTGAGTCCTGTCCATCTCATTGACTCTGTCTCTAATTGCAGCGTCTGAGTGCTCTCCGGCTACCATGCTAATGTGAACACGGATCGATGTCACTTTTCTTTGCCCTTTACGCTTTGGGAGTGCCTGTAAACAAGCAGGCTGGGTTTTTACTCAACTCCTCTAGTCCTTTTGAATGGTATACTTAACTCCTTATCCATCTTCTTCCCTTACCACTCTGCCGAGACGTGAGCTCATTCGTCATTTCTCTTTCCAGTTTATTGATTCCCCCCACCTCCATTTTCTATCTCCCATGCCCCATCTTAGGAATATATATATATAGTACATTACTAATTGCATACCACTACCATTCACCTCCTTTTTTCTGCCTCCTTGTCCAACGTTGCTTCTCTCTCTCTCTCTCTCTCTCTCTCTATGTTGCTTTAATCTCAACATCAAGCTGCACTCGCTCAAAAAAATGTTCACCTTAATGGTTTGCCTGTCATGACAAAAAAAAAGTCCCCTTGCTCTTGATCTCCAAATTCAGGACAAATAATTACGCCGATCAACGGCAACGATAATATACCTTTGTCCCTATTTTCTTGGACTCTCGCCTCCTTTTTCACCATCTAACTGGGCACGTGTTTCAACTTCCCCTCCGAAGCCCGGCTGCCTAACAAATGGCCTGTGAAATTATGCCGGTAGTAGTAATCGCTTGCGTTTCTCCCCTTCCTTTAAATGATTGAGGTTTTTGTATCAGCTGCTGCATGTGCTGGAGATTCACGCTGAATGAGCTTCGGTTATATCACAGGGGCACCTGCTGGGATCTCTATGCTTGCGTGTGATGTTTTTGCATATAGAGGTATCGCTGCACATGTGCTGTGTGCTAATGTTGGAGCCAGCATCAATAGTGCATATACCGCAAGCTTACCTAACACGAGTGACATTTTCTTTTGTCTTTCTCTTGTCTTCGTCTCCCTGCAGTCCCCATAGACTCCACGGCAGGAATTAAGATGCTGTATGTGTTTGTGGATATACAGATGGACAACGCACACTTCCTGGACACGGTCAGGTTCAACTTCCCTCCTGCACAATCCCTGGCACTCGTCAGCACTATTCAGTTCGTGGCAGCGCTGCAGGTGACTACGCACTGGGTCTGTGTGTCTGTCTGTCTGTGTGTGTGTGTGTGTGTGTGTGTGTGTGTCTGTTTTTCAGTCAGAGGCATCTGCCGGGGTGCGTGTGCTTCTGTGTGCTCACCTGACGGGTCATTGCCACGTGTGTATTTTCAGCTTTACTTATATATGTTTTTCGTGCACAAAGTAGGAACAAACACCCGCATGCATTCTTCTGCGCATTTGTGCAGTATACTTTATCTGGTCCCCGTCTTTTTTCGAACACGCTCTTACGCTACACTTAGCTCATGTGTAGCTTACCTCAAGTGTGGGTTCGAGAAATCCTGCAGCAGTTATTTTGGATTTGAAAGGTGGAATGAAGTCGAAAGGCCTCTCGGCTCAGAGTCGTGCTCAGTTCTGCTCTTCACACAAGCAGTGGCAGCGGCGGCAGCTATTGAATTGTGCTTCCAGAACAGAACAGAGAGACTTCCTGCCTCTCGGTTCTATATGGCACTCTGTTGCATTCATTTACTGCCTTGAACAAACACCACTTTGGACCTTCGCAAATGTAACCGCTGTTATTTTTACACCACGCTCTGCCCATATTTTGTATTGTTGTGTTTGAGTGCATCCATGTGTATATGCCTGTGTTTTTGTATTGTATCTATCTCACTCACGTCTTATGGTGTGTAGGCTTGTTGAGGTCACACAGTATCAGTATCATCGCCCACCGTAATCCCTCCAGACCGCCTTAAATTAGCTTTAAATCGTTCAATTCATCCTTCCACCCTCAAGAACACTCACTCTTTATAGCTGTAAATGTTTAATGTTTCATCTTCTCACTTTGCTTAAATGGATATAGGTTTATGTGAAAGAGTTGTTTAGTATTAGAACTTGCTTTTCATATAGTACATGTTGGTATTTTATTTTATCTTCTTTTTATCTGATTTTTATATTTTATAAAACATTTGGAATGTCATTATTTTCTTGTACATTGTGTTTTGTAGACAGTTTCTTAGTCGGTACTCTGCAGAATCATGAATTAATTACATATTTAATGGGTGGCCACATTGGGAGTTAGATTTATGTTAAACATGAGCAATCCAAGATCTTCCTAGTTACCATATTAAGGGCTTTTCCCTCAAATCACTCCTTATGGTCTTAGTCAAAAAAAATTTGGGCTTTGTTCATCCCGAGTGATTTATATAAGAAACTTATAAGCACATCTCCGATCAACAAAATATGTGCTGTAGCATGAATCTTTGTTGAGAACAGATCTGTTCATTAAATCAACTAACCAGGTAATCTACCAATGCATAAATGTTTTTGGATGAGTTGATGTTGTGAAAGGGGAGACGTGGAATGTGGAGAAGAGTGACACCATATATATATATATATATATGTGTGTATATACATGTATGTGTGTTTATACAGTGCCAGTCAAAAGTATGGACACACTTTTTTTTTATTGAATTACTGTACGTGTGTGTGTATATGTTTGCGTTTGCATTTGATTCCCTATTTGTATATATATTTGTATGTGTAATAAAAATACAATATAACTGTATTCAGTACAAATGTATTACAAACAGGTCCTACTGTATGTTTGGTACACAACCGATCTAATTCCCCAAATTAAGCAAATTCATTACATCATTCAGTGTTGTTTATTGTGCACATATTTAACGTGTCACATGTTGTTATGTTATTGTTTCTCTGACTGTCTTTCCTTCTTCCTTCCTCCATGCTGCAGGCTGTGAGTGCAGCCCTCAAACCAGAGTATGACGTGCTGGTACCACAGTGTCGGCCTCTTTCGCCAGGAGAAATCCTGGGCTGCACCTCACCTCGCTTGGACCGCCATGTAAATGCCGTAATGTAAGACACCTTACATCGTTCTTCCTGTTCGTCCATTTAACCATTAACCATTTAAGACCTCCAGTCTTGACTCATCCAGATCCCCTTCTACTAGGGGGGGGGGCACAATTACCCCTGACATAGCTGTGCCCACCCATGTGACATGTGGAATAATCAGCTCTCACAACCAGTATAAGCTAGTTGTGACATCTGACTGTGCCGGCATGCTTCCGATCAGGCTTCTTATATATATTATATCCAGATCCTTAACAGCAAGCCCTAAAAATACAGTCACGTCGTGCACAGCATTGAATTGTGTAAAACTAGACTGAACACAACACTTTTGGCTGTTTCAAACCAACCGCACACATCAATATGCACGCCACTCTTCTATATTGTAAGAAATGTTAACACAGTGTGACACCCATCCCTGCTCGTCCATTGTTTTCTTCTTTCCTTTTTTATTATTTATTATTTCTCCCTTTCTATAAAGCGGAAGAATATCATGACACACAAGAGACTTGCTGATCAGTGTTTTGACATCAAAATGAGTGATGTGTGCATGCGAGACTTGTCAAAGTGAAGCTTTAGGAAGAGATGGCTCTGGAAAAGTAACATATTCAGGCAACAAGCAACAACACCAGTGCTGCACCTCGGTGACTGTGCATGCCATGCAGCTCTGCAGCTCTACGGTGCCCAGTGGGTTGAAGTAATACCCCGGGTGTCTTTAAGTGCATAACCTGGTATGTCTCATTTGCACACATCTTGTGTTAGTCCATGTGATTAAACCCTGTATGTGCATGAGATTAAAATGGCTACACAAGGATATGCTTTGCCATATGCATAAGCCAGGCCCTATGGGAGGCAAAAGGGGTGTGTGTGTGTGTTTGTACGTGCGGAAGACATGGAAGTGAGGGAGTTAGTGTGTGCTTCACCTACTAATCCAATGTGCCTCGTCTTGTCTTTGATGTGTGAGTCAGGGTGTGTAGTGGTGTGATTGTTGAAAGAATCGATTAAACAGTATGAGACTTCTCTCTCTCTCTCTCTCTCACTCAAACACACATTTAGAGATGTAGTCAGGACTTCAACCCTCCTGAGGTGGGCTGTATCTACCTCCTACAATTCTCCAAACACAATGTACAATTTTAATATTAAATATAAATGGAAGAAAAGCTTTAAAAGATGTTTTTGTAGTTAATTTTACTAAATGCCAGTTCACCTATATCAGAGCTTTCTTCTCACTTATTGTATCGCTGTTCAGGCATTGACACAATTACAGCACTTATGGCAGAGCAAGCTCTTTTAAACAGTGCATGATTTTTGTTACTAGTACAGTAAATTCATGCTTAACATTGTACAGACACAAATTGAGTCAGCACTCTACTTTTTGTAGTTGCATTTCACCTAAGCCTTGAGCTACTTAAGAATTATGGAAAAGAAGGATTGGTGTATTAGTCTTCGAGGTTCATCTTGAAGCCTTAGAAATGGGCCGGGCTGTCTCATCTCTATAATGAAGAAAATCATTTTTAAAAGCTGGAATAAAAAGAGCGATGATCTGTGAACCATTTCTATTTGCCAACTCCGCTCCAGCTCCCACTCACAACAGAACAATATAAAGATGTGAATCTGAAGATATGGTGTTGCATAATTCAAAGAGGCAAAACATTACCATTATAGCGAGAGCACTTTTACAAGGAACGGTAGAATTTGATTGAAAGGACTGTAATGGGAAAATGATATGTAACCCTTTTAAATGCTTCATTTGTATAACCAGTTTATTAATTGCAAGTGCTTAGATGACAAAGGCTCTGAGTCAAGTATGTCTTTTCTCCGTTTATTTCCTTGCAAGGGAAAGAGGGTCACAACAGCTACGTGGTCAGTAGACTGTCAAGAACCTCCTTCCTGCCCCCAACACATCGAGGCAGTTCTTATACCTAAGTTTAGATATCGGTGGCGTCAACAGAAACCTTTGACCATCTTGTTGAGTCTCTACAGCCAGGGTACAGGGAACATCTTGTCCATGTAAGACACGTCAGTTCTTTGACCGTGTCCTTGCTCTCCCAACATGCTAAAACAAATGTGGTCATAGACATAACGAACACTTTGTTCAATCTCTACAGCTATGACTGCTGGAAACATCTAATCCATTACATAATAATCACCTTTGATTACATAATAATCACACACTATGCATCAATTTAGAATGCCTACTCTAAAAATTTACCATATGATATTTACCACATCAAATATCACAAAACTTTGCCTGCCACAGAACAAAAACTCCCTAAAAAACCCTCAGAAATGGGGGAAAATAGGAAGAAATCTGTTAGAAAAAAAAGACTGGAAACCTTCTCACAGGATTTGAGCGTTACACCCCAGATGTCATGTGTACAGTATTGAAATGATACGAGATGATGAAGAGATGAACATGTTTAAATCACAATACCGGAACTTGATTCCCTATCACACAATACAGATATAGAATATTGTGGAAAGGTCATTATATCAATCATATTTACGTTACATACTAATAAACGCAGGGATAAAAGCTGTTTTTGTGAGAATGTTATTTCTCATTGTTTTAGCACGCTACTGTGAAACAAAAAACATTTAGAACACCAGAAATGCACATAGACAGTGTGTCACTATGTCACTATGCGTATGTGTCGAGGTCGTAAGTCGTCTAAATGTTTCTGGTGGAGGACAAAATATGGAATCAACACAGAGCCTTTGTTTCTTACTTAACGATTGTCTGTGCAAATCTTCCACCACAGGACTGTTATAGCAGCTTTAGTGGCAGGAAGGCCAGCGTCTTGAAGCCACAGAGAGATAAGGACCACCATGGTTAAAGTGCAGCAGCTGTACTGTGGTCTTTATTGTATAAAAGCCTTGGATGTTGCTATGGAAAAGAGAAGCAATGCAACAGAAGCTCTTCTCGGGTTGCCGTTGTGTTTCATTTGTCACAGAAAAATAAGGTCTGGGCTAGACATGTCTCCAGGTAGCCTATATGATCAAGCTGATGCCAGCTGCTATAAACATTGATCAATTAGTGGATTTAATTGCATGTCAATAGCCCACTGTAATGGGCAGGGTCACCGACCCGAGTGCCCACACATGGATTCTCCACAGGATTCCTCTCGGCCCGACTCTGAGAGGGGAGTTTATGTGAGAGCTTGTGTTTTCTTTTTAAGGAAACTAGATTCCTCCGTGTGCTTATGGATGGTGAACTCTGCCTCCGCTCGGGCGCTGGCCAGTCCTCAGCACCAGACCCCGGGTTAATTGCAAGCGTTCGCATTGTCTGTAAACAGCATGCCACGATCGTTGGGGTCATGTTCCCCGGACAGCAAAGATGAGAAGACCCTCCACCCCTGCCTTGCGCATTCTGCCTGGTAACGCTTTGGACCGTCGTTAAAAAGGCTGCACCGAGAGGAGTAGATTTAAAAAGAGAGAAAGCTGCTGTCAGAATGATAGGCCAATGTTTATTATGGTTACACAATGAATTTCATTTTCAAGAGGGTTACTTTGCACAAATACCTTTCTACTTTTTTTAATTTGATTTTTTTTCTTGTCTAACATTTGATTGCATGTGTTTTTGTGTAGTTATCTGGGAGATGGAAGATTTCACCTCGAGTCAATCATGATCGCAAACCCAGAAATCCCGGCTTACAGGTATTTATTTCTATATTTGGCTTTAGATAATGCAATACAACACATTTTACATCAGAAGTTTGCAGTCATTTTTCAAATGTAATAGTGTGTTAATGTTTTTTGCATAGAAAATATATAGAATAATGTTCACAAATACTCTATTAGGTTTCCTGATTTTGAGAGGATGAAGTTCTCTTATGATGAGGTTTTGTTTGTATGCAAGTGATTTGTGTTGTGATAGACATATGCACTGCTGCACAGATCACAGGTCTAAAAAAACAAGATACTAATCTCAAGTGAACCTCTTGCACCGTAGAAAAACAGAATTAAATGCTCAGAAATACCTCAATTCAAATTAATATATACTAAATCAATCCTGTCATACTTCATGGCTTTTCATGATTGCATTTTTAAAAGTCTTTTCTTGCATTTCTGTCTTGCAAGACAGTTGGCTGAACAATAGTTGGTAGTGTGTATGTTATGGTCATTTTATGTCTGTACGTTTCATTGACATTGGTGCTTCTTTGCCTTTTCCTGCCTACGTTTTTTCGTAGATACGACCCCTATAGTAAGGTGTTCTCCAGGGAGTACTATGACCATGAAGCCATGCGGGCCTTGAGGCTGCAGGCGATTGACGAGGCTCGATCGGCCCAGAGATGGGGCCTGATTATGGGCACACTGGGCCGTCAGGGGAGTCCCAAAGTCATGGAGGTGAGTCTGCATCCTCCCAGTCTACGCCACGACATGAAAAGCAGTAAGTCTTCACATTGGGAGCACGTTATTTAACACAGAATGAAACAGCCCTATAGAATCCTATCTTGATCTCACTGCTCAGATTTTAAGCAAGTTGTTTAATTGATTCTGCAATGTAAATGACTAATAATTGCAAAATCAATATTTAATGGGTTAAAAAAAAAATTTAATATATATAATCCATGCTTTTCCTCAGCACTTGACAATTGGCTAAATTATATCTGACTGTAAAATTCCCTGGAAAAGTCTATCTTGGACTTGGACAACTTATTTCTGTTTAAAGTGGAAAGAACGTATAAATAACGGCAGATTTTTAATAAAAATACTGACCAGCTCTCCCATGACAATCGGTCGACGTTAAGCAGTACAGTGTCGGATATCCTCTCACCTGAGGGCACAGAACTATCGCTGATAAGAGAATGGTTGCACAAATGTCTGATGATATTCCCAAGGACAGCGGGTATCAGCAACGCTCATACCTTTTATCTCACCAAAAGAACATTTACTGTATTTCTTCACTGGGTTTGGCTGACTCATGCATCCCTGAATAACACAGTCCAAGTACAAATGGCCAAACTTCAAGACAGAGAAAGCAAAGAGAAGAATTCCTTGAAGTGGCTAAAAAGTTTTCTTTCTTGCTATAAAAGACCTGGTGTCTGAGTTTATACCCAAGGTGCCCGGTCCAGCAAAATATGATGATGTAAAGTTGGCCAACCTCCACATGGGCCCACTTTCCATCAGGGTGGTTTAACACTCAACCAATCAATCAATGACGTAATTAGACGTTAAATAACACCGGAACTGGCTTCGGGCATATTTTAGATGGTACAGAACAGGGCCAAACAGAAACTGGTGAGTTGTCGTCACTTGTGTGTCGCGCTTCAGTTTGATCTAATTAAGATCCAAGAAATTCTCCCACTAATGATTAAATATGGAGCGACAAAAACTGGTTCCTCAAAATGTATGAAAAAGAATAAATGAATACAGATTCATGTACACGCAAACCACTTGCTGAAATGGTCTTGTATGCATATGGATATATGTCTTCTTTAGTATTATAAACGCTTGCCATCAGTTGAAAATTTGAAAACATTATTTTCGTTAATACATCATCTGTCAAAATGACCCCAATGAAAGGTATAGTATTATAGGTCTGATTATCAGTCCATGATTGTTAGATTATTGGGGAAGTTATTACATTATTGAGTTTCATTACATTTGAGATCAAGTGAAATTACAATCTTAAGGTGTCACATTTCAGGATGCTATTACATTATTGGTGTATTATATATCCATCCTGCGGTGAGATTGCCAGGAGCAGTCGGTGGACAAGTCTGAGAAGTCAAATCTATCGGCAAACTTGCAATGGATCAATATATGTTGCTTCAGAAACTGAAAGCTGGATGAAATAGCCTTCCCGCGCAAACACTTCTGGACAACCCTATATTGCATTTAAAGATGCAACTGTCTGTGTGTGTGTGTGTGTGTGTGTGTGTGTGTGTGTGTGTGTGTGTGTGTGTGTGTGTGTGTGTGTGTGTGTGTGTGTGTGTGTGTGTTTGAGTCCTTGGTTTTGTAAATTGTCATTTCATTCTGTTTAGTTTCACAACACTGGAGATAATTATGTTTGATTGTGGGGATTGCAAACTTTCTCGTTTTCATCATTTAATTTTTTTTTTATCTTTCTCCTCTTAGCACCTGGAGGCGAGGCTCCATTCGTTGGGAAAGTCCTTCACTCGAGTGCTACTGTCTGAGATTTTTCCAGGCAAATTGGATTTGATACATGATGTAGATGCGTGAGTATTAAGATGCACATGCACATTCTAACACACAAACCAAATCAGAACACGTCTCATTTAGTGAATACCAACAGCTTGGTGTTGGCAGGTGGATTATCGTCAATGGCCCATATTCTCTTCATTTTCATTCTAGTCTGTCCTCTCTGACAACGCCTCCGAAGCGTCTCAGCCACGCCACAATGCACTTCCACCGGCAATTCTCTTGTATACAGTAAAAAGAGTTGCCAAATGAGCCCCATTTTGTCTCGTTTTTTTTTTCCCTCTTCCACCCGCCGTGGTCCCCACAACCCAGAGTGCGGATTACTTCCATTGTCTTCCACGCGTCACTAAGACAGTTTTTCTTTAGGCTTCTTTTGCAAATTCTTAATCAATGCTTTGCCTCTTTGTTAGAAAGAATGACTCATTTCTCTTTCATGTCGTGGATACTGGCGGAGCCATTATGTTCAACAGCAAGCAGTCCCCGCAAAGTTGCAAACAACTTTTGAACTGTATTCTGTAAGCATCATTGCACACGACTGACATTTCAGCATAATTTGCAAGTGGATACTATAACAAGCAGCAGAAACACAGAAGTCTAGAGCAGCGGTTCCCAAACTCAAGAATGCCGCGGCCCACTTTGAAATCTGAAAATCTTTCGCGCCCAAACCTTCAATCACAACTCTGATCAAAACATAAACTAGGGATGATTAAATGACCTTAAGAATTTAACCAAAAACAAACATCCGCGAGCAAAAGTCCGTCTCCGCGAGGTATTTGCTCGCTTGCGAAACGTGAACTTCGTTGCTCGCGAGGAGAGTCTCTGCTCGCGCTCGAAGGAGTTTTCTTCGCGCTTGCTGTTTTTCTTTTTGACAGTAAGGTGGAGACGGTGCTTTCAGGGTCCGATCGATGCCGCGAGGTACGTCCGCTCCCGCCGCCCCCTCGCCATCCACGCCTTAAATCTTCCGCTCCTTTTAGAATAACTTATTCTCCCCGTTAAGATGGTTCAGCTACTGTAGAGAAAAGGGCACCGTCTCTCGCTCTTTAATCTCATGAAGTGCTCGGCAAGAACGACAGCTTTGTTTCTCCGACGCGCCCTGAAACAAGCTCCATATCTCACGCGCTTGAGCGCCGCTCAGCATCTCTCTCAATCAGCAAATCTCAATAAATTCATTTATTTATTGTAAATGACCTCTCGCGGCCCACCTGCAGTACCTTCGCGGCCCACACTTTGGGAATCGCTGGTCTAGAGTGTATAGCTTCATAAACGTAATTGGCATTCATGGCTTGCAGAGATTCAATAGTTTAGCCTTCAAAGTCAAAGAAAGTAGTTGAGCATAATGCACAATTTCCTCCGCTTTGACACAAGGGCATAAAGAGAAGAATTTCGTAAGGAGCACTTTAAAACACATCAGATTTCAATGTGATACTGGTTTCGACAGTTAAATGGACAATCTGTGCAACTTCCGAAGGGTTGAGAAATGGCCTCATGCTCCCAGTAGTGATAATGAATCTGGCTAAAGCAAACAGTAGTGGAAAACCAGTGAAAGAGATCAAGAAGGAGAAACATCAGTGTTTTATTTTCTATTTAATCTCACCATGATTTAAAAAATGTTACATTCCTGCAAATGATAATCAACAGTTAACCATTTACTGACATAGCATGACATTATTACATTATTGACGTACTCGCTGATCTGGCCATCAATACATGATAATCAGAGTGGCAGATCTTCAGCTAAGTCGTGTCACTTAACACTGGTATTTAGCTCACAAACACTTCGCATTACAGCGTCAGAAAGGATTCACTCCAATTTCCTTCAAAGAAATATTAAGTGCTCAGGCTTCAAGGTGCACCTTATCCAATTTATTGGACTTCCAGCCAGAGGTGAAGATGGACCAGTGGTTGGACATTGATGTGCACCGTCTCCAATAACGCACAGGCACACACACACAGATCCACCTCACACTCCCTCTGATTGGCCTCTCACTGTGGAGTAATGAGAGGTGTGATGTGTGAGGGAGGAGTGGGTGAGAGAAGGACAGAAGGTCTTAGGGAGATCGAGAGTGAGGCCAAGATGCAGAGGCAGTTGAGGGGGCCGTGTTTGGAAAGTAGCCGATTGTGGTAGAAATAATGTTTTGCTTTGTTTTTGGCTCTCCTGTTTAGACGTACGGGTGAAACGCTGAAACGCTTGCATTATAAAAATAAACTTTAAAAAGTCAAAATCACTTTACATTTCCACTTAAGAAAAATAATCTGAACAACATTTTGGTAAATGGAGAAAAACTATCAAATTACTATCAAACTAGCAGTTGCGTGAAGCCGTGTTGAAGCTGATGTGTTAAGGGGGGAGGAGGAGCGAAGGAGAAGGTGGATGAGAGTCAGACGGTGGAGGTGTTAGTGGATGCATTAGTGCTCAGCCTACTGTACAGAGCCCGGCCCCAGGCTTTCTCTGCCATTAGACGCTTATAAACACATGGACACATTAGCATGGTCTCTTAGGTGTGTAATTAGGCCGTCCCCAAGCAGGTTTTAATCTATTGTACATCTATCTGTACACCCATCTCATCTAGACATCAAATGCCACCCTATGAATTGCACTTTTTAAAATCCCATTGTTTGGATTGTATTTTTTTGACTCGACTGAAATTAAATCGTTCTTCTCTTATTCAACACATTTTTCCATTAACGGTGAGCGTTTCCGATTCCCCGTAGTGCTTAAGGGTTGATCGTACCCACTCTCGCGGCTCGTGGCTGCTGTTGAACCGAAGCCATGCAGGTGGGGGTGTCCCTCGCAGCATCATGTTGTAATGGGCCACAGCAGGTGATGCAGCCTGCCCAGGCCCGGAGCTGACAATGGAGAGCCGTGCTAAATGTCATGCAACCTTACCTTTTATATATCACAGCGTAATCTGCACCAGTCCTGGATCCCGTTGCTCCAATGCCTTGCATTTCTCAAAGGGTTTTTTTCTATGCTCCCCCCCCTCCTGTGATGTGGGAACTACTGTGCTGGCTAGATTGAAGGCCTAATAAGTGCTGGAAATACAATTTGTGCCACATTCTTGCGGCCATACCTGCCATGCTACCATGCATTTAACTGAACTGCACTATTCACTCTGTCTCTGTGCTAATATTAGAGAAGCCTCCCCTGGGTCCATGTGCCAATCACCTAGCTCTCTTGCATGCTTTCTATCATGCTTTCCACTCAGACCCTCCTCTCAATGCCCTCTTTTAGCTTCTTCCACTGTTTTTCTCAGTTCTACACAGAGATGCGTATCATAGAGGTGCATGTGCACGTCTACGCAGATAGAAGTGCACACAAAAATGAGAAACTGTCAACTCTCCCTTATAATTCGTTCCTGTTTTATATATGTCGCAATACATTCTTCAGTTAAGAACTTGAACTAAAGAAGAACTAAAGTTGGAAAATGAGTACTAGACAGATGGGTTTTTTTGACGCATTAACGTACACATGAAGAGTGAAGTGTTTTCCATCTTGCCTTTACGACATTGATTAAATCCCAAATAGATGTATTCCTTTTGACATTTACCTGGATCAAACGTTATCTACAGGGCACCTAAATCCACCACTACTCAATTCATATTTCCAAATATATCAGCTCCATCATTAGGATTAGGCAGTGAAGATGGAGCTGTGGCTCCCTTTGATGGGTGAAAGCTAACCCCTGTATCCCCGGACGCTTCTTTCCGTCTCCATTTTCCCATTGTTCATTTTTTTCCCTCCAGCTGTTTACATCCCCACCCGCTTCATCCCTCTCCTGTGCATCTTCTAGAGTAAACACTTTCCTCCCTGACAATCTTTTTCTTCTCGTCTGTCTCTGTTCTCTTCATGCTTGTGCCATCTCAATCCCCCTCCCTCTGTTTTTCATCCTCATTGCTCTTTTTCCCTATCACTGTATATCTGTGTCCTTCTCTTTTTTTCCCACCCTCATCCCCCCCTCCTCTAACACACACACCCTGTCTGCCAGCTATGTAGGCTACCTCCGTGGAGACCAGGCTGGTGCTGCGTTTCTTGTTCACACTCACCTAACCTCTCCCCCTTTTCTTTCGGTGCATTTCTTCGGTTTTCACCTTTGTTCACTTCTTTCCCCGTTTTTACTTTTGAGCATCATGTAACCAGCCCCCTCCCCCACACACACACACACAACTCCCTCCCTCCCTCTTCAGCCTCCCTCTTTCTCTCACTTCCTATGCATTCAGACGTGTGTGTGTAGCGTGGCTGTCTTTTAGAGCTTTTGCAAGATCTCGCCAACAGATGCTGGAGATCAGGTGGAGGGAGGCTCCCTGCACAGCCCAATGCATCACGTATCCACATGCAGCCACCACAGATGTGCCCTGCCTGTTGAACAGGATCTCAGTCTCTCAGCCTCTTTGACTGCTTCTGTTTTGCACACAGTCTCACTGATGTGCATTTGATCACAAATCTTTACCATCTACCCCCTTCAGGTGGATCCAGATCGCTTGTCCACGCCTTTCTATCGATTGGGGAACAGCCTTCTCTAAGCCGCTGCTGTCTCCATATGAGGTAAACATGCACCTTGTAGTCTCACGGGAAGATCACAGCTGTCATTCATTTATCTGTTGAGCCACATGAATCGCATGCACATGCAGAAAAACACGGACCTTCCTGCCAGTACACAGACCCGCTGACAGATGTCCTGCTGAAGCCTTCATCAAAGCCCATGAGATAAAGGAACTACTACATTGTTATGGGGGGGGCATTGTGAGTTTGTGTAATACTCATCGGGGCCTGCATGTAGTGGGGATGAGGGATCGTGCCTACTCCTCTCTCTTTTTCTTTCTCTCCCCGAATCCCTGTTCTACAACACAAGAGAACACATACAAGCACAGAAAACAGCTTCAGCAGGAGACTAGCCCCCCCTACTGGCCACAGCAGCACACAGCCCCCCCCCTTCACCTTGCAGCTGTCTTGTTTTTCCAAACAGAGAGAGAGATTGGACAGCAACCCATAAAGACCCATTTCAAAACAAGCCTCTGTGTGCCACTGCTATAGACACTTTGTAATGTGCTGGCATTTATGTGCCATTATGTGACTGGCTGGTTATTATTTGATGTCAACTATTAATTTGTTCAATGATTTTCCACAAAGATACGCTTCTCAATCTAAACCTTGTTAACTTGGATGGCGGAGTGTGATTTCAAATGGTCGCTGTTTTCCTCTGACTACACATCTGTGTGCACCGCCTGTGCGGCTCATACATTTCAGGAATGAGGCCCATTAAGAATAATGATGGTGTTCACCTAAAGATAAAAAGTGATGATCGAATGAAATCACCCCGCTGTAATGAGGAAAGCAGCATTCTGTTTCCTTTAGCCTTTTTTGTTGAAGCTCTCCCTGATTTGTTTTTCTATGTTTTTTTCAATTTTTCTTGAAAACAAATTCTGTGCATTTAAATAAGTTGAGGCCGTACGTGTATCTGTGTGCTTGTGTGCAGGTTTTGATGAGTCGTAATTCATACCTCTGAGTCTTATATGTCTCAGTGCATGTTTTTGACTGTGGCATTTACAATGAAGATGAGGAGGAAAGCGAAGGGGGGGTGGAGTGAGAGGGGGGGCAGGACCATTTATTTTCAGTGCGTCTCATGTTATATTTATAGTCAATAAGACACACTTGGCTCTCCTGTCAGAGCAGGGATTAGCGAGAAGCTAGTTGCAAAGAGAGAGGAATTTGGTGTGAGCGAGGAAGAGAGGACGAGAGCAGGGGGAAGAAGCTAAAGAAATGAGAGATGCGTGGAATGGGGCCAGAGGAGAGAAGAAAATGAAGAAAACTCCACCAGAAGGATGTTTGAGGTTTTTCCCAGCATACAGATTTTTTTTTAATTAAGAGGAAAGAAGAAGGAATTTAAGATATTTTTAATAGCTGAATGTTAAAGAAGAACTTTGTTGTAACTCAAAGATACATATATATGCGTTTACATGCTGCAATGTAAATATACATTTAGTAGGGCAAAGTAAACAAAGTATATTCATGTAGCACCTTTCACCAAAACAAGCCAAAATGCTTCGCAGTCAAAGGAAATCGTTCAAAGATGAATATCTACAGTCGGAAATTAAAACATGATGAAACGGAGTTCCTAAAAGTCTGTCCAAACAAATGTCGTTGGTTTTTTTGCTACTTTTAGATTCCATAAAGTCTTAAGTCCATTAGTCTTAAAATGTGCCGGAGGATAGAGCGCATAAGAGCTCAGCTCATGGTGGGGGGGGGGCACAAGGTCCACGATGTGCTGTGGAGCCAGGCCACGTGGGGCTATACAAATAAGCACCAACGTGGAACATGAAAAAAGGAATACTGAAATGGACAGGAGACTGCAGAGAGGTTGAAATGGTGGTAATATGTGACATTTTGTTAAGACATTTTGTACATTTTTGTGACAAGACATAAAGCAAGAAAACAGATTAGAGTGTGTATTAATATCACCATTTCATTTGACACCACAGACCTCAGTTTTTCCTAGTCAAGAATCCAGTGTCCTAACATGGTCATGAATAGGTCATAAATCATATCAAGATTACACAAACTACTACAAGAAGATGAGGATACGGTGCCGAGATACTAAGCAGTGTCCAGGATCCAATTTTTTTTTTCCATGTGTAACTGCAGTATATATGGAGTAAAATAGCCATCCGCTTCCTAATAACAATCCCACTATCATTCCGAAATGGTATGAGGGCCATCAGGTTTAAATAAAAATTACAACTGGATGTCATCCGTGTACATTGAAAGTAGATGTTGCTGAAAGTACTGATAATCTGCCCAAGCTGCAGTATGTACATGGACAATAGAATGTGTCCCACGATCGATCCCTGGGGAACACCACATGGCAAACCTGTTGTGTCACTCACAATTCAGCTATAGAGGCCAACCATGGCCTATGAAAGATCTAATAAGATATTACCTACTGAATGTTGTGGTCAACAGTATCGAATACGGCACAAAGTCCAATTACGGATTGGATTTACCATTACAATAGAGATTTCAATACTTTCTAGCTGCATTTTTTGTTTCCTTTGAACTGAATTTTCTAGTGTCTCACATGACTTGTTATATCATCGTATTTCTCTACATTATTGACATTTTCCTAAATTGTTTGAAACTCAAGTAAGGTCTTATTACCGAGCTGTCTGAAAGATGCATGAGGAATTGAATCAACCTAAAAATGATTTGCTGATGATCTGCTTATGAATCAGCTGCTCTTTTTTCCATTTAGAATCGATATTCACACGTGTCTTTTTATATCTAGCTGTCTGCAGTTATGTTAGTGCTTTGTCATGCCTGCGCTGTTGCTCTCCTCAAACAGCTGTTGTGTCATGCAGTGCAGCTGCACAGGGATAACATGACACCTCAGCTTCTTATTCAATCTTAATAGTATGACACCTGTCTTGACTGTCAACTCATAACTGGTTTCCTGCAGATGCTTTTCTCTATAACTGCAAATACAGTCTTAGACGAGGGGGGACTCTGAATTGAGCACAGCCATTCAAGTGGGCAGGTATTGCAGTTTACGGTTCTCATGCTGCTTATTTGTTTTTACCGTATTTGTGATTGTCTCACTGTCTCTCAGGCGGCTGTAGCTCTACAGGAGGTTGGGTGGAAGGAAGTCTACCCCATGGACTTCTACTCCAATCAGAGCCTGGGGCCGTGGGCGCCCAACCACCCTGAAAACCAACCTGTGCGGCCCACTCGCAGACAGACTCAGGTAACCAATGGGGTGGGAGATAAAGGAATACATGGCAGAGGAAATGGAATAGAGATGGGAGGGAGAAAATAAGCCGTGTGAGTGACACCGCCCTGTGTTTAGCATGGCTGTGATGGCTTTTACCAGTATGTCACCACACTGACATCCAGTGGCATAATGACCACAAGACATGTGTCTGGATGTCTGCCTCAAAGGAGGGGGGGGGGGGGGTTGTTGTCTTTGACCTTGACCTTGGATTGTGTCATGAATATTTCTAAATGTACTTATTCATTTAATAAATGTACAAGAGACAGTTAGGATTCAGCTAATTGCTACAGTGTGAATACACCCTGCAGACGCCATATTGCCTCATATTGCCACTAATCTGAGGTAGGTACTGTTGCTATTCCAAGTGTTAATGCTTTCCCCCTGAATGCCTGCAGAAACTAGGATCGGAGCCTGCCCTTCCTACCAGGCAGTGTGAGCAGAACCAGTGCACCTCCTGTGGCTGTCAAGGGGAATGATATATCAAGTCCAGCTCAGTGCTTGAGTTGCCTCGTGCCTGCCAGTGCTTCTGCCTCTGCTAATGGCTGGAGGGGGTCAGGCCACAGTGGGTATTTGTCCAGACAGTCTACCAGCGAGTAGAAATAAAGCCAAAGCAGCCACTCCTCAAACGGATTACCAGCAAATACATTTAATCCCTCGTTTTACAGAACAGCAGATCAAAACAAATTAATTTCTCGTATTCACGTTTCATGCATGGGCTCGGAGCTCAGAATGCGAGCGACTGAGAGAATAGCCTTTGAGTTTGAGGTCACGCATGTCCATGTCAGTCACTCCCCCCTTGAATGAGCTGCTCTCTGCTGTGTGCTACGACGGAAATTCCTCCTGCACAGAAACATTCGGCCATTTGTGCAATGCACATGCAGTTATTGTGATGGAGAGAAAATATGAGGCGACCTTGAGGATGTTGAATGGAATCTAGTCAAATGCAGCTCACTCGTCGTTGGATAAAGTAGCGTATGTTTCCCTTCATGCTTCCAGTCATAAATATGGGCTTTCATGCACTTTAGTTGGGTGTACAGTATATAACTTTGCTCAGGAGTATTCTACTAAAATGCAGATGTACCCTTGTTTCTCCATTCTGCTTTTGTAGTCAAACTCTGAAAACAATAAATTCAAAATGGAACCTTGCTACTTGTGTGATTATTTTTAACAGTCAGGGCCTTGCTGAAGGAAGGGGTTTGTTTTTAAGCCCTCAGTTAAAAAACAAAACAGTAGGTGTTTCTTGGATGAGTGCAGCACTACTGTAGTCACGACTCCTCTCTATTCTCATAATTTATTGATGGAGGAGTCAATAAATAAGTATATAAACCCTATCTTGCTGTTTGGCTGGTGCAAGAGAAACTGATGAGAAACTGTGGCTCCACTGGTCCTGAGAACACTGCAAAGTCTCAGATTGCAGGAAGTTTTATCAAGTGAGGATGATCTTCTGTGAGTTCCCCAGTCACACCCTCCTTCTACTATCCACCATCGTATCTCCTTGGCAACAGAGGCAAGTATGATGCTGCCCGCCCCACCAGATGTCGTTCTCATGATGTGTCTCCCATGTCCCCCTAGTGGTTGTTACCCTGAAGACCTCAGTACTTCAAATGGTACAGTGTGTAATGCGGCCAAGAATAAATTATTGGGCAGCAGAACTCTCTCTGAGCTGATGTTTGATTTATTTTTGGTGCACTCTGGCAGGGGGAAAGGGGAAGTTTAATAAATGATCTCTTCCCTCCGGCTATGTGTGCAATTTTTAATCTTAAAACCGGAGGATTATTTTTGCTTCGGATATTAATTACTTGCTGATCTGATCTGAAAATATCCTTGCTGACAACACACCCCTTTTGTTATAAGTGCAGAATTCAAATCAGTTTGGAACCAAAATAGGGAACATTAATGATTTAGATATTGGAATAGAAATCAAATAAGGCCCTTACGTTGCTAATAATTGACAGTCTAGACTGCAATTACAGTTTTCTAGTAGAAGTGTGAACCCCTTTGTTTATGAAAATTACAATCTTGTCTCTATAAAGGTACAATTTAACAATTTTCTTTGTCATTTTAAGGGAAATCAGCAGTGCAGTGCAGCAGAAACGTTTTGCCATATGGGATTTTTTGTGAACTTACTATTAAAAGTGTTCACAATAGTCAATGTTTCATAACAAATTGGAATACTCTTTACACTGCTGCCTGGAGAGGTCCAGGGAGACCCTCTTCACAAAATGTTTTCAAACATCAGATATCTAATTTTTTTTCACTTTACTTAAAGCAAACAATGACCACTTACAATGACTTATAACCTGCTTGTCATGTATTATATCCACATAAACCGCAGGAATTTTAATACTTGTCACTAAGGACCACTCTTGATTTTACTTTGTTTGTTTGTTTTACTGCATCTAAAAGACACTTACCACAGCGGCAAGCAAATCAAAACAAAAAAGCAAAACAAAAACTCCAGAAACAAGAGCCAGAAGTCCAATCTGCAACCAACCTTGGTTTGCTATTGTTCCCAAAACTAACACGGCAATTTTTTTGGACTGAATAATGTATTGATCTATTGACTGATGAAAAATAGAGCACATTATGATCTGTATAAACTTTAAATGCAGCAGACAACGTGTTACAAAAAGAAATGGCTAATTCTTACTTAAAAAAATTATTGATGAACTAATCCAAGACGTTTGAACAACTAACTGGGTGCACATGGTCAAGTAAGTGGTACTTAACGTTAGCTAATGGGCTAATTGTTGCTGGTGGGATTAAATATAGCACATCAAGTTGTAGACATCTGTGAGAACTTTAAATGCAGTAGTAAATTATGGTTGTAGCTAGTTGTCATCTACGGCCCACTACGATTACAGAGAGGTCGTTTGTGTTTTGACAACGTTTTATCTCATAATTTCGACTTTCTATCCCCTTTCTTTAGTGCGGAAATGGGCTTCTATAGTTCTGTGAATGCATGACTCCAGCCAATACAAAGACGGGGTTTGTAACCAATTAGATGTAGAGATACCATGGTGACTGGCTCCGCCCCCTAACTTTCAAAAAGAACAGCGAGCGCGCAGAAAACCCCTTCGAGCGCGAGCAGAGACTAGCCTCGCGAGCGAGCAAATATCTCGCGCGAGACAGACTTTTGCTCCCGCGAGACAAACTTTTGCTCGCGCGAGACAGACTTTTTCTCGCGCGAGACAGACTTATGCTCACGCGAGACGGACTTTTGCTCACGCGAGACGGACCTTTGCTCGCGCGAGACGGACCTTTGCTCGCGCGAGACGGACCTTTACTTGCACGAGACGGAGATTTGCTCCCAGACACCCCCGTGACCAATCACAACGCTGGATTTCATCTACCCGTATTATAATAATTAATAAGATGCATGTCTTAAATTCCACGGTTACAGTTTTGAGGTATAATTGACAGTATTCTTCACTGTGCATCGCCTGTGAGAGAATGCTGAAGAACCAGGACTGACTAGATATCACCAGATTGTGGCATACAGAATTAAACCCAGGGACAGGTACGAAAAAAAAGCCGACATACACGGAGAGGAATTGTTCTAACATAACAACAATATAAAACAGCAAAAATGTGCTTCTTAATAGAAACATCCATGCATACATACACTTAAATACACACATACATACGTAAGAAAATGATGTGTTCATTTTAAGAAGCATGTCCAGAACAAATGCATGCGTGGGTTACTGAGCCAGACTACGAAATAAAGACTCTGATGTTTGGAAATATTTCTGAGTTGGAAAAAGGCAACTTTGGTGATGCTGGTGATATGATCCTTAAAAAACAGAGTTCACCATCCATGGTTACTAATAGGTTTCTAATCTATTTTTAGTGATCTCAAAATAGCTGTTACAGGAAGAATGTAAAATAACCTAATAGTGTTTTACTCCAGAACCTTTAGCCATATCACTTTGAAGGTGTTTGATTGTATTTATACTATTATACCGTATGTTCTGCTTCACTGCAGAACATCTAGTGATATCACTTTATTGAAGGTCGTAATGATATGGGAAACCTCTGTAAAATATCAGTTTTTTTACCCGCAGATCCTTTAGTGGTATCCCTTTATTGAAGGTGTTTGATTGTAATAATTCAAGAAAAATCTGTAAAATAATAGTGTTTCACTGGAAAAGTTTTTGTAATATCACTTTTTTGAAGGTGTTTCATCATAAAAAAACAGGAAGAATCTGTAAAACGACAGTGTTTTACTACAGAACCTTTAGAGAAATCATGTTATTGACGGTGTTTCATAATAATAAAACAGAAAAAAATGGTAAAATAACAGTGTTCCTGCAGAACTTTTTGCGATATCCCTCTATTGAAGGTGTTTTTTTCATAATAAAACAGCAAAAATCTGTAATATAACAATGTTTTGCTGCAGCAGAATTTTTTGCAATATCCCTTTATTGAAGGTGTCTGATCATAATAATACAGGAATAATCTGTAAAATAACAGTATTTATCTATATAACCTTAAATGAAAATTACCGTAAATATATGGTTTTCGCATTTTATTTGAATTAAGATATTTTACCTTAATGTTATGGTTTTTGTTTGGCAGCCACTGCTGCCAGTCATTTGACCTTCTTTCTAACTTTTTTTTTTTTACAGTATACTTATATAGTATGTTCTTTACTTAACTTTACTTAAACAACACTAATGAACAATCCTAAAATCCCGATTGTTGTTGTTGAAAAAGTTTCACGAATGCTAAACAAAAAGATTTTTTGAGCAGTTGAGTGGATCTATATCAAAGCACCTTGTGAGTGTGACAAACATCTTTGGGACCCCAAATCAGTCTGATCTCTTCTCCTAGATTGCAGGCAGCTGAGTGACCACTAGATGTCACTGTTTGAGTAGCTTATGTGCCGTCCTGTCAGGCATGCAAGTCACACAATTCTTGAATGTGGAAAGGCTCTGGCAGCATGAGGGGGGGGGGCTTGGCAAGGTGTACGAACCCATCCTACTTCTGTAACTGCTGTGTGCAATTCTTTCCAGATGTTGTAGAAATTTGATTCCGCGCTCCTTCATCCTCCTTCCCTTCTACCAGGCTGCTCCCCTGCCTGCCCTCATTGTGTTAGCCATCACACTTCTTCTGCCTTCAACACCCATGTTTTTAATCCAGAGGGTACAGCCCACCATCAAGAATGTGTGTGACTTGTTCATTAGGACTGTGCAGAGGTTTTGCGTTTGAGCCTGCACTTTACACAGCAGGTGCTCAGGCGATGCACTGTTCACAGAGATAACGATATGCCCTGACTGCACGGTCAGCTGGTTGCCATTGGTGCCCCAGCACTTGTTTGCGTAACAATACAAAGCTGTGCTATGACTCAAAAGACAACAGCAACATGTCAGCAATCATCCTGAAATGTTAAATTGAGATAATGTATTCCAGTAAATTTGAACCTTTGCCTTGGTCGATGTTTTCTGAGTTGGTACAATCATTCACCTTTTTGAACCCAGTTATGCTCTGTGGCAGGAGTGATAAGTATCCAACATGCAGAGCATTCACACACAGTAGTTACAGCTATGGGAGCAATTTTGGGGTTGAGGGTCTCGCCCCAAGGATACATTATGCGGAGCCTTTGATCGAAACGTCCAACCTTCTGATTGAAGGACCACTGCTCTCCCGCCCAGGGAAATTAGTCACAGCGGTACCTGGTAGTCTGTTCCTTTCTGAATGTCAAGCAACATCACATGTACCCACTCACTAAGTAAATGCATTATCACAACCCCCTTTTTTTCATTATTATTGGACCTTTTTGACAAAACTGGAAATCTGACAGGGCTGGAGCTGGTAAAGGCTTTTACATTTATTATGACTCATTGCACTACATCAAAAATTAACAAACCTTTTTCTGGCACATTTCTTTTGTGAATGTGAATGCAGAGGCTGTGTAGGGTAAGGAGTGGCAGTAGAGGGCATAAAAGATGGCAAAAGCGGGTCCTTGCTTTTACACATATTTAGCATGTGCAACTCTGAAAGTAGCTTGTTTTAGGGTAAACTGGACTTGCAGTAACACTGCGCCCTTGTATTTTGTCCTATTTTTATATATTGCTAAGCTTCAGGTGTGTAAAAGAAAAGCTAATGAGCCTTTTATGCATGAAAATAAAATATAAAAACAGGTACCTTGAAGGGAGAGTTAAACAGAAGGGCCAACAGTTAACTTATTCAAAACAGCTTGTGGTGTTCATGTTAAAACTAGTCTAATTGCTCTAAGTGTTTATTTGATTTAGTTAAGTAATCCTATACCCTCGCGGTGGAGATTAGCAGCTACGTGCTTAACAACCCATTGATCTGCATCCTTTTGGAAATTTGAACAATAAACGATGATGTCTACAGGCTGCTGACTGTGCGTGTGGGAGAGAAGATGCCTGGGCGGCTGAACCTCAATGCGAAGGAAGGTTGAATAAGTCGTGTAAAGAGATGACTAATTCTGTGTGGGAGGTCAGCCTGTCCCTGATCATCCAGCCAAGCCACCTAAGCACAGGGCTGTGACAAAGGCACCTTCTCTCTCAACCCACTCTGTCCTGCCGTGGATTGTCTGCACTCTCCTGTCTTACTGCCATCTTCTGTCTCCCAGTAATTGATGTAGTCGCTTTGCACTCAGTCTAGTGGAAAGGGGTCGCTGAGTTTCCTTTGTTGCTTTGCTTGAATGCTTTTGTGTCTTCTAATTCATTTGTGTGGTCTTAAACTTGAAACACCGTACAGACATTGTTTTACATCTTTAAAATACTTGAGAACAAGAAACTATTCAACGTTTAACATATTTAACTTTGTATCATAAGGGCGAGCAGCCCCTGACTCATTGTTATAAAGCTGTAGTAACTATGCAGCTGTGGGATGTATGTTTGGAAGATCAGGACTCTGACAGGACAAAAGACATACTAGACCTGTTCTGACTATTGGATTGTGGATCTTTAATGGTCATTGTTATTTGGAAATAGTTATACCTTGGTTGTATGTTACTTCGCTTAGTTATATATTTTTTCTTTCACTTTTCACATCAGCAATTACCATATGATTGTGTTAGAAATTCTACCTCAAGTTGAATGTTATAATCAGCAACGGTGCCAACTTTATGTTTTCAGTCTTGGTCTCTGAACAGCCAGCTTATGTGCTGCTGGAAAGGACTTCAGTACGATCTTACAGTGCAGAGAAAATGGACCCTCATCTACAGGAAGGAGCCTCTACCAGAAGATGGCAGCTACAGCCTCAGGACGAGGTTTGATATGTTTGTGATGATCAATTTAAATCAGTTCTTAAACCAGCACGTGCACATTGGGTCCTGAAGTTTGAATCGTTATTACTGAAAAAGACACAAACTCTCATATATTATTGATTAATCTATTTATTAATCAGAAATAAGACATGACATGGCTTGTACTTAAACTTGCATATTTGTGAATGGGGAAATCACAAACCAAAAGCTTTCCTTAGAAATTTGACAAAAAAGACACCTAGGACGAGGAGTGAATATCAGAATTAACGGCAGTTTCAGGAAATTCCCGTTGCTCTTTTGCTGGGAGGAGGGGATTGGTTTTCATTAGGATTATACATGTAGTCTTTCCCTGATGGCTGCCCTGCTCTAACTTCAAAACCCAAAACCTTCACCTATCTGTCAAGGAGTCTTCCTCCTTCCAGAATTTGGTCCTGTAATATTCCTTCTCAAATGTACAGCACATATGTAAAGCTTTTTTAAAAATGTATTCAAACATATTGTCCTTAGCATAACATCTCTTACATGTAATTATTGATACCTATGTGCTGAAATCATAGTCAGGCTCGTAGAGTTCAGTTATTCCTGTGCATGTATATATACATATGTACATGTGTATAGATATGCATATATGTGTGGATATGTGTCAGCCCTGCAATTGACGGCCCCGTCTCTCGCCCGATCTTGGCTGGGATGGATTCCAGCTCCCCCCGCGACCCTGTGGGAAGGATAAATGACTTTGAGATATATCTTACTTTCTAGATTAAAGTCCTTTAATGATATCATAATAATACTAGTTTATATAGCACGCGCTTTCACACCACTGAGGTTCAGATGTGTGTTTTGCCCCCTAGCGACCATGGCTGTAGACTGTTACCAGTGGTGCTGTTGCTACAGTAACAATCTAATGCCACGGTCACCATGGAGACAGCGGGAGGAATATGATTGGCTGCAGTAACCACTGACGTCCTCGGTGCTTTGATGATGTTGGTGATGCAGCCTTCAGTAGTGCTGCGCACCGAAAGTTCACGCAGTACAGCAACATCTTCTCACTCCTGTTAGCCTTTAGGGTCTCAAAGGTGAATTTGAGAACATACAGCAGAGGTTTGCCAGACTTCAGTAGCCATGACTGTAGACTGTTACTGTACTTCGGGACAGTTTTAGCAGTAAGCAGTCTAGAGCCAAGGTATTGATGCACTGACTGATAGAACAGACAAGCAGCATAGAATTAGATCAGACTGACAAAGCATACAAGGTAGTAGAGACCTGCAGAGGGAAAAGTGGGGTGTGCAGACGGGGGGACGACACCATGAAGCTACTCTCAAAATTGCAATTCATACAGAAATAAAGGTGTCAGTACAAAAGAAAATTAGCTCTGTAAATGCTCTTTATAATCACCTGGCATATCCCTCACCCAAATTACTATCAAACAAATCAGATTATACACCATGACACAGAGCTCACATTGGTTTGAATCGTTGTCTTTCCTGCCAGAGGCCAGAGGCTACGTGTGACCAGACTGATGGTTACATAGCCCACTTGTTTTGTTTGTAGAATTGATTTCCATGCCGATTATCTATGAGTCAGCCACCGGATATGCACGGACGGGAGCATAGGGTGCACTTATGCAAACTCAACTGAGGAACTCTAGGTTTGACGTCAGTAGACCACTGTTTGAAGTGTTGACTGTGGGGATTTGTGTGTTTTCACATCAACAGATTTTCTAGATGGGGGAGGAAGAGAGATACATTAGCACTGCGAGTGCAGAAGTTGCTACTCTAGTGTCACCATAGGGTTACCACGGAGTTGGACTTGTTCCTGTGTGACACCGCTCCTTGGCCTCACCTCAGTTAGAACCAGCATCAACAGTTATCAAGGCGTTCCTCCAAAGTATATTTGAAAATAGAATCGTTGTTATCCCTGTTTGTGTAAAGTCGACCGCGTTGCCGCTGTCCGTGGTGCTGAAGACATTCTGCTGCCCGACGAAACAGTGCGTGAGCCGTAAATGTCTCTCGTGAGGCGCCTCTCTATTTTTAAGGAGAAAACAGATGCTTGGTAGTGGCTGAAAAGTTTAAACCTATCCTAGAAGTGAGCTCGTAACTAAATCTCTCAAACATTTGTAAATGTTTTCAATAGTATCCTCTATCAATACAACTTGGATGGGTCACTGACTCTAGACACAAAGTTGAATTCTTAGCTCTTGTGTGTCAGAAACGCACCGGGTTGTTCTTTAAATTCAGCCCCGGGTACCGTGTTCAGCACCATGGACAGCGCTGGTCATTCCAGCTCTTTGAAGGATCTTCCAAGGCGTATTTCTGATCTATTTTCATGCCCCATGTCGTATCCGCCGTGGATATGCCCCGCACAGCAGGACACCGGGGCTAGAGACAGCTGGAGGGATCATTGAACACATTGGCCTTCTGTTCAATGCACCTTCCAGAGGTTACACTGCTGACCCCTTTACCCCCCGTATAGTGTCCCCTTAGTATGGAGACGCATCGCAATGCTGTTTGTAGACGTTCGCGACTCGCGCTGTGTCTTTAAAGCAACGTGATCGGGAGTCGTCTGCATGTGCGCATGAATGACGCAACACTGACTTCATCTCTAGAACGCGTCACGATGTCATTTCAACATGAAAAAAACAACAACAACTGGCGAACCAAGGAGAGGACATCTGCTCCATCTACAGTAAGGTCTCTCCACCGGGGGAGCATCCATCGTAACACCGGCAGATACCTACGAGTCTGCGTGCTTTACGTTGTGGTTCAGCGTGGAGCTTTACAAGAGCCCTCGGCTGTGTTTGGTATTAATGGGTCCTGGAAGCTGACCGACAGCACACGTCCCACAACGGCTGGCACTCTTTATTAAAAAAATGTTTTAAAATACATTAACCGTATGTCGTGATTTACTATTGACTTGCATTGAGTGGATGCGGAATAGTTAATATGCGGTCAGCGCAGCCTACACCCTTCGAGACATTGCATCTTTTTCTACAGTTGTCACTGCCCATGTGCGCCAAAGTGACTCACACTGCAGTAACTTCCAGTTGCCGTGATCTACCGTAAACTCACGACGTGGCACGCAGAGGAAAATACGTTGACGGGAATGAGAAAGAGTTTAGCGGACACCCATTTATCAAGCTCATCCTCGTTGTCATTTATTGTCGCACGTGGATCGAGACATCTGTTGTTATCGAAATGTGCATAAGACAAATATTGGCACAATGAAAAGGAAAACTTACCCCATGGTCTTCTCAACTCCAGCGGAGATTTCTACACTTTACGACTTGAATAAAACTATAAAGAAATAACAGTTTTATCATTTCCTAGATTGTCACATTAAAATTTACCGGCTGCGAATGTGTTCGTGTATCAAAGAATTGTCCTACCTACCCCCATGGCCAGCACTGCTACTACATTCTTGTAAAAAAAATATATGTCGGATTTTGATCTTTTTAAATTTCGCTTCTGGCACCTGCGCCTCACTCCTCATGTCATGCAATTCAGCGGGCTGTCCCGGCGATCTGCTCTTATAGACATCCCGTAGTACTAGTATTGGAGGTGGGAGGGGACACTCATTCATTCAGAAGCATCACTTACATGGACGATGTACGTGCACTCTGACGTCACCGGGGAAATTTAGTCAACAGGAGGATGCTCAGGGTTCCGTGAGGGGCGACGAGGGGAGGGGAACAGGAGTAATGAGCATGTACGGGTGATGGGGGACATTGTCTGGCTTTTCATTGGGTACAGTAATGTTACCTCGTAGTCCTGCTTGTATGTGATAAACTCGTTTCTGAGTATTGGAATAATTGTTCCCCAGGAAGTTGTTTCAGAAGGTTACAAGCCAGTGCACTAAAATGAGGCACGAACATGGAATCTCCCTGGAGGGCGCAGGAAAAGTGAACTGAACTATTAGTCACATCGGCCGTGTTGTTGTTTTGTCTTGTCAAACAATTTGTCTTCTTGACTAGTTTGTGTATTTTCGCCAAGTTGATGATCAGTGATGATCATGATGTGTAGCATGTGCCTCGTCCTCTAATTGTAGGGCTCAATAATATATTTGTCATTCCTGGGTCCTTTCTAAGAGCACTCCATCTGCTATATCTCACTTTTTAAAGAGTAGTATATTTAGTGTTAGACCTGTAATAAGTGGAGATTTGAAGAGTAAGGGTCAAAATAAAAACGGACTGAAAGAAAAAATAGTTCTCTCCTATAATGCAAGTAAACTTTTTAAAGTCGTCTTTCATCGGAAATCTTTCAAACCTCACACACCTCGGTTTCCAACAGACTTTTAAAAAAACGAATTTAGTTTAATTATACCATCACAGTTATTTTCACATCATCATTAAAGCTGATTTTTATGATCAGTGAACTACTCCTGTGCAATTCTGATGTATGTGAGAAGCAGTGCAGAACAAATACTGAATCAAATGTGAAGTGATTTTACCTTTAAGCAGAAAGATGATAAGTTCAACTTCAGCTAACAACGTTTTCTCATAGGAGATGTTTTGGTAATCCATTGCAGAATGTAGAGCTCCAGAATAGGGAATTGAGTAAACATGATTTTAAGCTTTAGACGAAACACAAAAGTGGACTTTGGGTGGTGATTATTGAGCCTATTTAATTAAGACTTTTCTCAATGACTTATCAGAATCAGAAGCCACTCATTGTCACATATATTACACATAGAGGAATGTTACTTGGTGCATTGGTGCAATATAAGAATAAAATATAAGAATTGGCTTGTTAACGTCATCTGTTACGGCCTCACTGTCGGATTTTCCTCTGTGTTCTCCTCAAGGCTTAGTTTTGGTGTTAGAGATTATTCTGCCTTAAGCATCAGTTTCCCACAGAGTTACGGAATGTGCTGCTAGAAGCAGGTAGTTTGGAACGAGGATTCAGCCAATGGAAACGTGTGAGCCAAGAATTTGAGAGAGCTCATCTCTCCCTCACTTTCAGTTATTTTACATTTTTATGTGGTGCGTCACTGTTCAGGTTTTAAAAAGTAATTCAGTGGTTATTTACTGCATGCTTTTCTCTTTTTAGGACCCAAAATCACTGAAAAACAAGCCGAGGAAGATAATTCATAAACATTCGTCACTATCTGTTTGCATCAACGTGATCTCCAAAACCTGTTCGTAAAAATCTATACGAAATATTTGACATAGAAATTCGTAACAATACATACTAACTGGTGGCGGTTAACCACGCCCCTTGAGTGAACGTCTCTCCGCCATGTTGGATTTTTTGAGGGGGTTAGGGTTAGCATTGTATTCTTACAATTTAACATTGATTGCAATGATGCAATAATAACACGTTTATTCTACATCGTTAGACTTCACAAAGTGTGTTTACGGGGTGCAGGTCCACATTCACTTTGAATAGGGTGACGTCATCAGTTGCCAGTCCGTATTTATTTAGTATGTATCACTACAAATTTGTATCTTCAAGATTTTCGTATACATTTTTACGAACAGATTTTGGAGATCAGGCTGGTTTGCATGGCGTCCCAACAGTCAAACACAAAACCAAACTTTCTGAAGCTTGTTTTGCTCTATTTTTTCAGAGGATTAAAGCTAAGAGGATGTCGGGTAAAATCCCATCATACAGAAAAATGAATCGTGATTAAGAAAAGGGTGTAAACGGTATATTATGATATAATGATCAACAATAATGCGTTTTCAACATGTTTTAGTATCTTCGCCATTGCAAAATTTTTGTTTTCTTCTTCTTCTCTCGCATCTTTCTCTCCTCCTCATAGGTGGTGTTGCTGGATTTTCTGCTGATGGCTGATTTTTCATGTATGTGTAGAAGTGAGAGGGCTGCGGTTAACGGAAGCGGGAGGGCGTGACAGCGATGATTCACTTGTTTATTGTCAGCAGGGGGGCGACAAAGAGAAGGTAAATATCTACGGGATAAAGAACTGAGATCCTATGGAGCTCTTAAGCCTGTAGCTCATAGCTTAACATGTTAACAGTATGGCTTGAAAGTGGAAAGTCTCAAGGATTGCATGATAATACTAATTGTTGTTGCACTGAAATGTAGTGTATTACAAACCTTAGTTTCTACACACATTTATTTCTGTATATAAGTATGCACTCATATTAGAACTACATTGACAAAGAAACTTCTTAATGTGTTAAACAGAACAACAATTGCGGTACACCTGTAACATGATAGTAAGCATTTTACAGACTTGATTACTTATTTGATGACTGGTGATTGAATATCTCCAATGATTTTAGGATATTAATAATTCAGACGCAGGTTTTCTACAAGCTATTCCTTCACTATCTCCCTCCAGACGGTCATTAAATCCTGAGGCCCAAATCTCTCAAAGGTCCAGAAAGTTATCAAGAAAGGAGGCTTGATGATGAGTTCTACAAACTAATGAACCAAACATTAATAAGTCATGTAGAGAATCAAAGGTAACTGCTATCAATGCTCTCACGGGGGCATCATGAATTAGGTATGAAGAAGTAGTACGTCACTGGGAGTAAAAATCTCACGGCAGCGCATGTTGTTATGCTCCTTTCACCCCACCATCCCTCCATTTCATCCCTGAGGCTATGTTTCACACATTTCTCGCTTCAGATTCCCTCTTTTTTCGTGCATCGTACAGTATCAGTCAAGCCCCTCCCCGCCCCCCCCCCCCCCCCCTTACTGAAAAATGAAAAAAAAACTGCTCTCCATTGCAGCAGCAGCTTTTGTCAGAAAGGAAAAAGGAGAGACAGACACGGTGAGAGCAGCAGCAGAGGGGAGGGACTCTGGGGACGCCACTTTGATGTCCCGGGAACGTCTCTGTACACATCGTCTGATCCCTTGTGTCATTTTCATTCTGCAAGTGTAAATGATTCTCCTCCTCCATTACTTCCATCATTTAAGTCACTTGTCATTCCCCTCACTCCCTCTCTATCTATCCACTTCTGTTAATTTCTTTTTGTGCCGGTCACGTGAGCACCGTTTTGCAGATTGGAAGAAAAGGAGATTGAGACCCCACATAGCTCCAAATTCACCTGCAGAGTGCAGCCCCCCCCCCCGCCCCCTTTTCCTGCACGCACCAATAATCAGTATTCTGCTTTGACGCTCTTCGTCCTACTCCTCGCTCCCCCTTCTCTTTCTTATTTCTTACTCTTCCATTCCCAGGCGCTTTCCTTCCTTCCTCATCTCTGTATCTCTGTATTTTCACCACAGCTTCTACATGTACTCAACATTGGCAATGATTCAGTCTAGTTTCCAATCTGCACCCTGTCAGAGCTGAGGGCCTGGAGCCATGTCAGCAGTGGGGCTACAGTGCGTGGTCGAAATAGGGAATCACCGGTTGCTCAGTGCAACAATAAACCAAAGCAACGAGGGTATCCTCATTCCTCTGAATGACATGCATTGTGATGTACGAGGGTCTCATGCATATTTATTTGGGGACTCATGTGGTCACAGCACCCCTTCCACTAACATTGACACAAAGCCCCAATCTTCTAACATCACCACTGCTCATGAATCTTTCATCAAACCCTCCTCCCAACTCTCCTCCACCTCCTTCTCATCTCCCCCCCTGTACGCCCCCCCCCCCCCCCCCCCTTTGAGAAAGCCAGTGTAAGTGAGTGAGAATTAATTAAACAGGATCACCCGAAGGCAGTTTGATTCCGTCAGACGTGACTGTCCATTCACCGGTGCAGGTGTGCGGGGAGAAAGGCAGGGCGTCCAAATGTGTCGTCCTAATGACAGCCAGTGCACCATACTGCCGTTCACCCCTTTTCTTCAGATGCGTTGTATAAACTTGAGGCTCCCCTCCCTCGTGTGCATGGATACAGTATGTCCGTCACGTTTTATGGCAGAGGGCTGTTTGATATATGTTTGGTAAAAATTCAGACAGCTATTAGTCACAACTTCACCAAGCAAAGAATTAAAAGCACACTTCAGAAAATAATTATTTAACTTTCGTACCTGGTAATCATTGGAAATCCATATTTTTTCTTTCATGTGATTATTTTTGGTTGTGTCTGGTGTGTTGTTTCATTGGGTGACACATCACCATGGATACCGTAGGTCATAACGATGTGATGGGAAGTGAGAGTAGCGTATCATCGTGGAAATACAGGACTCTTTGATGTGAAACTATTCTCTAGGGGACGGAAAGTACAGGGAATAGGAAAAGGAGGGCCCAGAAATGGGAGAGTGAGAGGATGAGCTCAAAATGAAATGCAGAAACCCTGAATCAATGAAATACTGCCATGATCATTTCCGGGCACCTAGTTTCTCTGAAACTGCTTTTCTTGAAAACCAACACATCTCATTCCTCTTATCTGGCTGCCTCTTCCTAGTGAAACTTTCTCACAGTCCCCTGACTCTTTCTGTTCCTCTTCTGCATGGCTCTCTTTGAGATGTTGCCTTGAATCTGCATATTCAGGAGCCCCCTGCTGGTTATAAACACATGCTGCAAGCCAGAGCTGGTGTGAAAGACTTTATTCGTCATTCTGTCTCAAGGGAATACATAAAAAAATCAGACAGCAATAGAATTCTAATCTCTCCAATGGAGGCGCCTTC